GATAGCGTGGGCGAAGGTTGGAGGCCATCGCTTCTGCCTCCATCGCTAGTAAAAACAAAGAAACAGAAAAGGAAGAAAGAAAAGATTAAATCGTCTGCGTTCCTAAGGAGGGAGATCCCAATCGGGAAGATTGACATGCTGGCTTGAGGCAGGCCCCCAGAGTTGGTGCTTGCGACTGAACCCGTGAGCCTCACAATCAGCGGAGCTAGCTGAAGGGCTAGCTCGTGGGGTGCATAAGCGCTGAGCAGCTGGGTCAAAATCACCTGAGGTGCCGCTGTCGGCCAGGGGCTGAAACTCTGCACGCACAGTCGCCGTGGTGTTTTGGATGTTGTTGAAACAATGAAGCTAGTAGAAACAAGTGCATCGCTTCTAGTAACAAGTGCCTTACTAGTAGTAACAAGAAGCTAGTAGAAACGACGTCATGAGGGGATGTACGTTCCAGACATAGTTGGCTTAGGACAACAAGAGCTATGTCTATCATTGCACACACATATTACTTGGATGAAGAAGACGTCAGTTAGCAAATAGGAAGCTACTAGGAACAAGTGCATCGCTTCTAGTAACAAGTGCCTCGCTAGTAGTAACAAGTGCCTTACTAGTAGTAACAATATTTGCTATTAATTTAAATCTAAATTAATTCTAATAGCGAACATTGTTACTACTAGTAAGGCACCTGTTACTACTAGCGTGGCACTTGTTACTAATAGCTTTTTGTTCAGTGGCTGTGCTGCAAGAGGTCCGTGGATCCAAGAAGGACGTGTTGAGCTTCCACCAGGCAGCACTCGCCTTGGCTGTGAGGCACAACGAGCTAGACTTAGTGATCAACCTATCGACCTATGAAAAGTTGTTCCTAGTAGCGATGCCAGGAGCCCCTAGTAGCATTCTTGCTCCTAGTAGCGATGCCCTTTGCTCCGAATGTAGCGTCCTTGCTCCATGGACGGTATGGAACGTACCCTTTGTCATGAATGGTTCATCCATGGGAGCACAGGGGTGTAGAGACTTTTGGGCTTGTCTTGACCTGCTGTTTGGGGTGACATTTTTCGAACGAATCTGTCCAGTTACAGGGTGTCATTTGGAAGGTCCCCTCGCTTCTCGCTTTCGCTTCGTCGATCATCACAGTTCAGTTCTCGGTTCAGTGCATCTCTCTTTGCCCACATCTTTCTCATTCCCAATAACTGTGAAATCTCTTCTTCGTCACTGAGTGTCGTAGAGAAGCAACAGCTGTCCTCGGCAAAGCTGCCAAAAGCTTCGGAAGTTCTTCTCCTCCCCCCAGAAAAGAAAGCTCAGCTCAGTCAGCGCTGCCCAACACTCGTGGTCCTTGGAGAAACGGTGCAGTGGAGTGGCCCAGCTGGTGAAGACCTGGGCATCCCTGGGCTTTGGTCTTCAGCTCTGCACAGCTAGGTCTCAAAATGTTGGCAAATCAGCCATCCGGATGCAGGAGGTGTACGGGAGACAGCCTAATTAGGTTGGACTGCCGTTAGATCCGGTTCGCTTTCAGCTTGCAGCCAAACAACAACTCATGGCTTTTGGACCATCTTGGAGCTGCTTTGTCAACTCATCTTGGATCAGTTCGCGTATTCCTTTTCAGGGCCAGGGAAGGTCACCTTGATCACATGGGGGTGATATCCCACAGACTGACGACTGAAGAAGGCTTCAATACATTCGAGCAGCCCAAACCAGCGGCATGCGGTAAGCAAACATCATTAACCTCAGAAGTTTGGGACATCGAGCACTGGAGGCCATCGCTACTAGGGTCGAGGCCATTGCTAGTAGGTTGGAGGCCATTGCTCTTAGGTTGGAGGCCATCACTAGACCCGCGAATATCCGGCCTTCAAGGTATACAGTTCACATCCTTTCGTGGCGTCACAATTATGCAGCTGGATTAGAAGATAGAAGTGTGTGGAAAGACAACAACCGTTATCAGTTATTGTATACTGATCGTGTGACATAGTGACCTTGCCCTTTCCATGGATTTCTCCATGTTCAATCACCTAAGCAAGTTGGCGTGTCACAACTTGGAGGGGATGACTTGGAGCTCCCGGAAATCACAATGCTTCACTGCAACGAACATGGGTACGTCAGAAACATGAGCACTCTTTGCTAGTAGCGTATCTCCCTTGTAGTGTGGCGGGGCCTCGGGCTAAAAAGAAAAGGCACATTCTTCAACGAAGAGGATGAATGAACATCCGTGGTTCCATATGCCTTGGAGCAAAGCCCATGGATCTGCATGCATCTACCATGCCATTGTTGTGTACCAGTGCCCGGTCCACCCTGTCTGTTGGGGTCACTGAGACAGCCCCTGCTTGCCAGGCGCTTTACTGCATGCGCCACCCGCAAGCATCCAGCAGACCAGCCGTACTCCAGCACCAGTGTTCCAGCCAGTGCCAACGGAAGCAAACACACCTCAGGAAGAATGTGGTTACGAATAGGAAACCAAAACCAAACGATTGGTGATTCGCCGGAATGTCTGTTCAACCATTTCAAGTGGGGCATCGATCAAGCCTAACCTGTCTTTTGCATGGTCGAAGCGAACGCCTACATACCCACATACCTCACAGGCGCACCGATGCAGCCCTTGCAGTTTGGAGGGTTCAGAAGAACACAATCAGGTTCAAGCCACACTTTCAGAACAACGACACAAAGCCACAGTCCTGAACACGCTTGCTTAATTACCCAAATCCCAAATCTTAAACATCCGGTTGTTTGAAATCTTCTTGCCTTAGAGCTCTTTGGTCTCGTCACTTTTGCACACGTAAAGCTCCTAGTAACAAGAAGCTACTAGGGGCTCCTGGCATCGCTACTAGGAACAAGAGGACGCTACTAGGGGCTCCTGGCCGCACTACTAGGAGCAAGTAGCTACTAGGAACCTGGGCATCGCTACTAGTAGCATTCTTACTACTAGGAGCAAGGACGCTATACCTAGGAAGCTATTAGTAACAGGTGCATCGCTACTAGTAACAAGTGCATCGCTACTAGGAACAGGTGCCTTACAAGGAACAAGTGCATCGCTAGTAGGAGCTTTTTCGCGCCAAGGCACATCGCCCAGTCCCAAGGGCCGGGAATCCACTGCTCCCTGCCCTCCGAGGAAGGCATCGATGGCGGGAACCCAAACGTAAAGACACCAAGCCTGCACTTTGCATCGTTTCTTTTCCGAACAAAACCGCCAGAACTGGCCTGGCGGTTAACATGGCCAGCTAAAGTCAGAGCAGCATGGGTTGAATCAATCTCCATCTCATAGGTGTGGATCGGTTAACAGTAAATTGCACTTGGGCTGGTCATGCTTCCGAGCAAAAGCTGTTGAAAAGGGACATCCAAAGTGTCGAAACAAAATCATCGGCGATTTTTTCCATGTTCAACCAACCTAGGAGCAAGGACGCTACTAGGCGCTCCTGGCCTTACTACTAGGAG